TTAGCTGAGTGTAGTGCTTCACGCCTGTAATCCCAACTACTCGGGAGGTTGAGGCATGAGAATTACTTGAACCTGGGAGGTGGAGGTTGCAGTAAACTGAGATCGTGCCACTGCACTCCAGCCTGGGTGACAGAGCAAGATTCTATCTCAAAAATTAATAATAAAAAGACCAGCCTGGGCAACATGGCAAAATCCCAACTCTACTAAAAATACAAAAATTTGCCGGGCAAGGTGGCACGTGCCTGTAGTCCCAGCTACTTGGGAGGATTGCTTGAGTCTGGAAGTTTGAGGTTGCAGCGATCTGTGATCACGCCACAGATGTGTAACTCCAGCCTGGGTGATAAAGAGTAAGACCTTGTCTTAAAAAAATAAGGCCAGGCTCAGTGGCTCACGCCTGTAATCCCAGCATTTTGGGAGGCTGAGGCGGGTGGATGACGAGGTCAGGAGATTGAGACCAACCTGGCCCACATGATGAAACCCCGTCACTACTAAAAATGCAAAAAATTAGCTAGGTGTGGTGGCGGGCACCTGTAGTCCCAGCTACTCGGGAGGCTGACGCAGGAGAATGGTGTGAACCCAGGAGGTGGAGCTTGCCATGAGCCAAGATTTCGCCATTACACTGCAGCCTGGGGGACAGAGTGAGACTCCGTCTCAAAATAAATAAAATAAAAATAAGGTAATACACGAAACTTGACTTATACACCTTAAATGGGTTTGCTGTATGGTTTGCAAATTATATCCCGATGAAGCCGTTTTCAAATAACATAGCAGTTGCTTGCTTTCTCTGTTGGATCGAATTGGTCTAAATCTTGCACTGTGAGGCGGAATTCTCTGCAGGTCACCTGGGTGTGATGAAAGGGGATCCGTATGCCAAGTCCCAAGTTCATGCCAATGTTTTGAAAAGAGACTCAAAACACAGGCCCTCAGGGGACAGTCTGAGCCCAGAATGGGAGGGAGGTTAAACTTTGACCAGTTACTGTTTTGCCCTATTGGACTCAAGAGTCTGATACAAGGTAAATTTTTTTTAAAAGTAATTGATATTAAGATGGAATTATGGCCAGGCGCAGTGGCTCAAGCCTGTAATCCCAGCACTTTGGGAGGCCAAGACCATCCTGGCTAACACGGTGAAACCATGTCTCTACTAAAAAATATAAAAAACTAGCCGGGCGCGGTGGTGGGCTCCTGTAGTCCCAGCTACTTGGGAGGCTGAGGCAGGAGAATGGCGTAAACCCGGAGGCGGAGCTTGCAGTGAGCTGAGATCTGGCCACTGCACTCCAGCCTGGGCGACAGAGCGAGACTCCGTCTCAGAAAAAAAAAAGATGGAATTATGTTGGTCCTGGATTTATGGCAGCCTCTCCTAGAAGACAAGTCTTTGTTAGTGAGCTTCAGGAGGGTAGATTGGGGGAAACGGGTGATTGATGGCGGGCGATTAGGACTCAAGAGCCCACCCAAGTTGAACCCAAGATACTTTTTCCTAGAAAAAGATTAAAAAATGCTACTCTGCTGGGACATCACAAAGATCAGGAAGCAAGAAACACAAAAACGGCTGGGCATGGTGGTTCGTGCCTGTAATCCCAGCACTTCAGGAAGTCGAGGCGGGCGGATCACTTGAGCCCAGGAGTTCAAGATCAGCCTGACTGGCTGGGCAAAGTGGCTCACGACTGTAATGCCAGTACTTGGGGAGGCTGAGGCAGGCAGATCACCTGAGGTCAGGAGTTTGAGACTACCCTGGGCAACATTGTGAAATCCTGTCTCTACTAAAAATACAAAAATTAGCCAGGTGTGGCAGCGGGTGCCTTAATCCCAGCTACTCAGGAGGCTGAGGCACGAGAATCGCTTGAATGAGGGAGGCAGAGGTTGCAGTGAGCCGAGATCATGCCACCGTACCCCAGCCTGGGTGACAGAGCAAGACTGTCTCAAAAACAAAAAACCACAATAACAACAAAAACAAAACGCAAAACAAGTCTAGCCTGAGGCAACATAGTGAGACCCCATCTCTACAAAAAAAAAAAAAAAAAAAATTAGCAGGGGTGAGGTGGCACATGCCTGTAGTCCCAGCTACTCCAGAGCCTGAGGCAGGAGGATCGCTCAAGCCCAGGAGTTTGAGGCTGCAGTGAGCCATGATCGCGTCACTGCACTCCAGCCTGGACAACAGCAAGATTCTGTCTCGAAGAAAAATAAAAAACAAAACAATTGCATCTTAAGTCCACCCCAGGCAGGCAGGGCCAGGGAGAATCCAAACCCAGAAAAGATAAGTGGGGATAGGCTGTTGACGGGGTTGGGGTGCAGAGGGGACTCCGTTCCAGAGCTCTGCCAAGGAGACGGAGAAACGTGTCTTTTTCCTCCCAGTTTGGCAAATCACCCAGAACCTTCCATGCCCTCTCCCACGGGGGTGCATGCCACACCCACAAAGACCCCTGCCTCCAACTAGGGGGTGCTGGCCACATTCCAGGTCGTGGACAGTTTGGTGACTCTCCACTGGGATTTTGTGCTAGCCCAGTCACATCTTGAATCAGGGCAGACAGGCTGGGGGCTGAGGGGAGGAGGAGTGGAGCCAGGAGGCCTTTCCTGGGAGGTCTCCCAGGCATTCTGGGTAGGGGAAAAGGTAGAACGGGATAACTTACCTGGAAAGGCAGTGAGCAGTGGATGAGCGCAGCTCACCAGGAGGCCATGGCAGGTCTCCTAGGGTGGGGAGGAAGTGGGAACAGAGAGGAGGAACAAGCAAGTGTGTACTGCAGCACACGCCTGTCACGAGGTTACGTAGGGTGGTGTTCTCCCCTGCAGCCGGGATATTGTCTGGAAGCCAATTTCCGGGGTGTCCTAATCTTGCCCGTAAGACTGGATGTGGTGCAGGAATTTGGAGGCCCAGGACTTCACCTGTAGCCTGAGGTCTACCTGGCTTTGGGTGCATAGCTGATCCATCCATAAAGTGAAAACGCTGATCTAAAGCATTGATTCTCAAAGTGAGTTCCATGGGGGGCCCCATGGGTTTCTTGGGAGATGGTAAAGGGAGGGAAGTGAGCAGGATTTTTTTTTTTTCTTTTTTTTGAGACGGAGTCTTGCTCTGTCACCCCGGCTGGAGTGCAGTGGTGCAATCTCGGCTCACTGCAAGCTCCGCCTCCTGGGTTCACACCATCCTCCTGCCTCAGCCTCCCTAGTAGCTGGGACTACAGGGCTAATTTTTTGTATTTTTAGTAGACATGGGGTTTCACCATGTTAGCCAAGATGGTCTCGATCTCCTGACCTCATGATCCGCCCACCTCGGCCTCCCAAAGTGCTGGGATTACAGGCGTGAGCCACTGCGCCCGGCCTTGAGCAGAATTTTAACCATTCCGCCCATTCAGTCAGTCAATCAACAAACATTGCTCGTGCACCTATTATATACCAGACCCAGGGAGACTGCAGGGAGCAAGTGGGTGAGTCAGAGAATACATGGCTTTTGCAAGGGAACCATTCGTCAGGCCTCTGAGCCCAAGCTAAGCCATCAAATCCCCTGCGACTTGCAAGTGTACATCCAGATGGCCTGAAGCAACTGAATATCCAGAAAAGAAGTGAGAATAGCCAGTTCCTGCTTCAACTGGTGACATTCCACCATAGTGATTTGTTCCTGCCCCGCCCTTACTGATCAATTGACTTTGACAATACACCACCCCCCCCTTGCAATAATGTACCTTGTGATATTCCCCACGTTTGTGATATTCACAAAAGGTGAACGTACTTTGTACAATACACCCTCCCCACCCTTGAGAAGGTACTTTGTGGCCGGGCGCGGTGGCTCAAGCCTGTAATCCCAGCACTTT